AAAAAGGAGAGAGGGAACAGCAGAGTGGTGCAGTGGAAGCGTGCTGGACCCATAAGGCAGAGGTTGATGGATGGAAACCATCCTCTGCTAGCTTTGTGATCTTGGCTGGGTGTGGCAGCTCACATCTGTAATCCCAGCATTTTGGGAGGCCAAGGTGGGAGGATCACTTGAGACCAGCCTGGGCAACATAGCAAGACACGTCTCCATAAAAAGGAAAACAAAAACAAACACACACACACACACACACACACACACAAGAGTGGCATTTCTAAATAGAGGCCTACTGACAACAGCAGAATTTACCACTGATGGCCTGTCAGTAAAGGAGCGGCACCTGTCCCAGTTAACACAAGCACCTTCTGCAGTGACTGCAGCAGTGTTTCTCTAGTGAGGACTTGGTTCCTACAACTCTCATCTACAAGTCTGAGCCTGAAAACTGCCTCAGATTTTAGCAAAACAAGCACAGTCTTGCTGGCTTCTTCTGTTTTCCTCTGAGCTGAAGGGGTCCCAGGCAGACTCAGAGCCCCTGGTTTCCTCATCATGAGCCTGAGCGTGAGTCAGAATCACCTGAGGGCTTGTGAAGCCAGAGGTTGCTGGGCTCCATCCGGAGTTTCTGATCCAATAGATCTAGGGTGGGGACTGGAACTCACATTTGTAAAAGATTCCCAGGGGATGTTGCTGCTGCTGGGCTGGCCTTAACCACTGGCCTAACAATGGGCCACAAGCAGGACCACAGTGAAAAACTCCAGTCAAACAGGAAGATACATACAATTTCATCCTTGATCAGGCACTTCTTGCTTCATTTACACAGGTGCCTGCATTTTTTACCCCAGGGAAGACTTTGTGACTTGATAATTTCCACTTGTGGAACCAGTTGAACTGGATATTTATTATCAGATATTTACTTATACCAAATAAACATTGTTATACACTATGTAAAAATAGAAGGTGCTGGCATTCTGAATTCCTTGCAAGGGCTGTTCCTTCAAACCTGCTCCCTTACGGATCTGTATCACTGAGTCATGTAGGCCAAAAGCATTGTAAGCCAAATCGTTGAAACTCAGGAGTTCTGTTCCTTGCTGTCACTGCATCCTTCCCTCAACAAACTTAGTTTACAGTAGACATCAGAATTTTGTATTCAACTACTAGCAGTAGTTTCTAAGGCATCATGCAATTAATATAAATCAATTTTAAAATTTATAACCTCCTGATAGGCCCTCTTGTTAAATTACTAATATTGTATTTATTTTAAAAATGTTGGCTGGATGCAGTGGCTCACTCCTATAATCCTAACATTTTGGGAGGCTCAAGGGATCACTTGAACCTGGGAGTTCGAGACCAGCCTGGGCAACATTATGAAACCTTGTCTCTACAAAACATACAAAATTTAGCTGGGCATTGTGGTGCACCCCTGTGATCCTAGCTACTCATGAGGCTGAGGTGGGAGGATCGCTTGAGTCTCGGGGGTGGGGGTCAAGGTTGCAGTGAGCTGAAATTGCACCATTGCACTCCAACCTGGGTAACAGAGGGATACCTTGCCTAAAAAAAAAAAAAAAAAAAAAAAAAAAAAAAGTTAACAAGGGAGAGAGCTATGAAAACAAAATTTTAGAGACAGTGTAGCTCAAGTACGGTCTCTGTGCAGTTGTAATTAGAAGGAACCAAGGTGGCTGACTGATTTTGAACTACAATTGTCACTGACAATAAGAGTTACTGTGGAGGATGAAAAACTCCTATCATTCCCTCAGCAAGACTTGGAAAGAAGGATGAATGATATTCAGCAAATTTAATATTTCACTGGTGCTAAAACTCACATTGTTTTGCATTGTTAAATCTCTGAAATCCTGATGCATTTTACCATGGATGGCATTTTATGATTATGGTTGGCTAGGTCATGGTTGTGATGTGGTGTCACTGCCTGCACATGTACAAACTTGGTGGTGTATTCCTGGTGGGATGACTTGTCAACTGTAATCTCCATGTTTCTCTCAACAGATTATATAAGGACCATCTGGAAAAGAAACACGCTCCCTGTTGTCTGGAAATCTTCCATTGACACCTTCAGGTAAGATCAGGAGAGTCCCAGCATCAAAATTTGTGAAACAGGTGTCAGTAGTTTGCAAGAAAACATAGTGGAATAGTTTTAAGAAATGCTGCATTATTAGCACATAGTAATTAAGGACACAGAGGACATTTCTGTATGAACGACACAGACTCCAATGACTATAAGCTCAAAAATGACTCAGAAGAATAATAGAGATTCTGAATGTAAAGAAATTACAGGAATTCTTTAATGAATTTATTTTTGCTTATACCTTCCTTCTTATGTATGCACAAGAGATGTATGATAACAATGTAGGTCTAAGTCTGTGCTTGTTCACTAAAAATTCTAAACAATGAAAAAGTATTACAAATAGTTTAATTGGGAATATTTCCTTTTTTTTTTTTTTTTTTTGAGATGGAGTCTTGCTCTGTTGCCCAAGCTGAGTGCAGTGGCGTGATCTTGGCTCACTGCAACCTCTGCCCCCTGGGTTCAAGTGATTCTTCTGCCTCAGCCTCCTGTGTAGCTGGAGGCACCCACCATCATGCCCTACTAATTTTTGTATTTTTAGTAGAGACGGGGTTTTGCCAAGTTCGCCAGGCTGGTCCCGAACTCCAGACCTCAGGTGATCTGCCTGCTTTGGCCTCCCAAAGTGCTGGGATTACAGGCATGAGCCACTGCACCCGACCAGGAATATCTTTCTTTTTAACAGCAACTTTCAATCTTTTTAGTCTGAGGACTCCTTTACACTCTTAAAAAATATTGAGAACACTGGAGAACTTGTGGTTTATATGGTAATATCAATAGTGACCATATTAGAGATTTAAACAGACTTTTAATACCAAAGAATCACAAGCACGTGTTCCATTAGCTGTCAGAGAGGTAATGACATCACACATCATGTATCCTCTGGGAAACTCCAATGTACACTGGTAAGAGAATGAATATGAAAAGAAAGGGAGGAACCACACTTTGAGAATCCCTGGCATATAAAATAATGGTTTTTTAAAAAATACTATTATATTTTGATAAATATGGATATATTTCCAAGTAAACTGTTGTTGGAAGAAGTAAAATATTGACTACATAGAAAATTCTATTGCTGAACAGTTGGTGTAGCATTTTGAGACACAGAAATTAACTGATGTATCTTTCTTCTGTGGCTGTGGGAAACATCCACCCCCAACTGCCCTTTTTTTTTTTTTTTGAGACGGAGTCTCGCTCTGTCTCCCAGGCTGGAGTGCAGTGGCGCTATCTCCCGGGTTTCCGCCATTCTCCTGCTTCAGCCTCCCGAGTAGCTGGGACTACAGGCGCCCACCACTATGCCCGGCTAATTTGTTGTATTTTTTAGTAGAGACGGGGTTTCACCGTGTTAGCCAGGATGGTCTCGATCTCCTGACCTCGTGATCCACCCGTCTCAGCCTTCCAAAGTACTGGGATCACAGGCGTGAGCCACTGCGCCCGGCCCCCAACCGCCCTTCTTAGGTGGCCAGCTCACACGGGGTATCCTGTAGGTCTGAGTAAATCGACCCTAAGGGAAGGTAAGAGTGTATCTTCTACTTGGGCTCTGGAGGGCAGTGGAATTGCCTGTAAAGCGGGAGGAAGGGATAGAAGTTGGGACAAAGATGAAAGGAGGAGTGTGGTTTGGCCCCTGGGGGGCAAACCTGGATTTTCTAGAGACTAGGGAGAAGCGGCGGGGCTTGCAGTTTCTGTCAGTGATGGAGATCTCTGGGGACTTGTACATGGCTCTGTGGGTACCGGTGGGCAGACAAACACTTGGTGCATAGGACACTGAAGCACCACCCAGGGTCCTGCTGGACACTCAGGCCCAGAGAGAGGGCAGACCCTGGGGAGCTGCTGGCTTTAGGGTACCCTGCAGTCCGAGCAAGACGTCCTAATGACAGTCACCAATGGGCTGCTGCCCGGGGCCTCTTCTGCCCCTGTCCTGACCTAGAATCCTACAACCTTTCAAGGAAGGAGAACGGGAGCCACCACATACACACAGAGGGTGGCTTTCCTCCAGGGATCCTGGGAACCAGATTGACTTTCATTTAGAAACCGCAGAACAGTTACAGAAGCAAAAGAAATTAGTTATGACTGGATCTGAGGACATCTTGCCTGAATTGAATTTCCAGCTCTGTCACTTGCTAATAGAAGTCCCTCACAGGGTCTCCGCTGGGCACACTAAATGAGTGATACATGGAAACTCTTCAGATAGCCCCTGGCATATGTATGTTATCTATCACCTCTTGAACCTCGATATCTTGGAGATGTCATAGGTGCCACACTACATCCTCTGCAGTTTGGGATGGCTGACGTTTGACCCTTTGCCTAAGTCCCCATATCGAAGGCTAGATTAAGCCGTAACGCTGGAGCCAAGGGGAGGGAGGGCAGGAACGTACTCTAAATAGAAGTGCTCCCCCAGGGAGTGGGCGACCCAGCCTGCTCCAGCAGCCAGGAAGGTCTTCCTGCCACAGTGACTGCAGCGAGTGGCGTCCGGCCTCGGAGGGACTGAGGGCACTTCTCTGGTGTGAGCATTGGCGTCCAACGCCCGGCGCAGCAAAATTGCTGCAAACTCTCCCTGAGTCCAGAGAGGTCCAGGTCCTCCTGGGTTTCTTTTTATTTTAAATTTTTTGCCAGGGAGAGTTCTGGCGCTCCTTCAATCCGGGGGCGCCTGCGAGTCTGAGCCAGGAGATGGGCGTGGGCAGGCGTGGGTAGCACCATCGAGTCCCTGGCCACCTGCCGGGTGCTGGGTAGTCTGGAAGCGTCTGGAGCCCGGACCCCGCCTCCCGGAGCCCCACCCTGGACCCCTCCTTCCACGCGGGTCCCGCCCCACGGTGGGCGTGG